GCCTGTCTTGCCACCCAAAAGGAAAGTTATCTCACGGCTGCCAGATGAAATGAATTGACAAAGGTGACGCTCAAAGTCAGCAGCCGAGGAGCAGATGAAATCACTCAGCTGAGCTACTGTGGTATCCATAGATTTATTGCCTGCTCCTTTCTCTGCCATTTATGGGGCTTCTGCTCAAAAGTTTGTAGAAGATATAGAAACAACAATTATTCTACTTCATATTTTTGTTCTGGTCAATTATCAAAGCTTTAGACTTGAATGAGAAAATCTGTCACACAAACATGAACAATGGCTAGTGTTTATTCTATGGACTGGACTTAGTATCTAGGGAGACTTTACCGAACTTGTGCGCGCGCGACTCGCGTGCGCGTGCTTTGAGATTATGTAAGTTAAATGTCGTCAGCAAATCACGCGGACTTTTTTTCGACGTGTTGAAGTTTTTTTTTGAGGAGTTGAAAGTTTTGAGTTTTCAGGAGTGGCAATTTGTTTGGCGGTCGTTGGATTTACCGTGTTTACCGTTTATCGTGTTACGAATAAACATGTTTGTTTGATTTCTGTTTCGCTTCGGAATACAAGTTGTACCTCCTGGCTATCGCCTCGCGCGACTCTCGTGCTTCTTTCGTGCTTAGCAACCGTCCCGCGTGCACCATAACTGAATTGTGTACGCTGTGGTGTTTACCACTTGTTTTATAACATAATATTGCTACATCGTAGCAGAACAGTTTTCTTTTATTCAACAAATCTTACGTGACCAAAAAAAAACTAGCGCACGCGGAAAATTAGTCTTTGCATTTGCTCACATCAGCATCACGTTATCACACCTGTGGGCAAATGGTGGACGCTGAATTGACCAATCAGAGCACGTGCTTTACTTTGGCTATGTTATGATAAAGTATACCTTTAGACTTTCTAAGAAAAGATGTTTACATTTAGTATTTGTTTAGTCTATCCCTCTGACGAATGGCTGACGCTCAAAACGACAGCTTTAGAAACTCTTTAAAATGGAAAATTTACATTATCAGCCCAGTTGATATGAAAACCGAATTGTCTTGTGGTATACCCCAACCGTAGAAGCAACACAGTTTGTTAAGAATCTTACCTCCTTAATTCAATCATAAGGGACGTAGAAAAAAGAAAATTGATTGCGAAAGCCATTTTTTTCCGAAACATGTGTTTCGGAAACCACAAATTTTAAAACAATAACTAGAAGCCGATAAGCCTCTGCGATAACCAAAGGACATAATTAATGTAATTGATTCACTCACGAGCTCCAGAATTCTTACCAGGAGGCAAACCGTTTTATTACTATAAAACTACTATAGATGAAACATCTCGATTTATTTTATAGATGATATGTGATTCGCAATGCGGGCCAAAATAGGTATTGGACCAAACTTTAATCGACAAGAAGGGTGACATTTTCTTCACTTCCTTTTTCTCGGAAAGAGTAGTCATTCAAGCAATTCTTAGCAAGATTTAAACTAGTAGCCTCGAAAACGTTGATATTTCAGCAGTAATTTTGTTTGCTTCCTCTTAATCATCAAATTTTACCTGCACTTAATACAATTTTAGAGGGGAATTTAAATTGGTCTTGTCTGAAACAGGCTTGCAAGCTTACAATTATTTGAAATAGCTCGAATTAGTCTCAAGTGGGTCACATAGACTTTAGGTAAACAATAACATTTCCCATCGATTTAATTTTAATATCGCTTGCTTACTGTTTAAGCCGTTCAACTGAGTGTCGGCCAACAGAAAACAATTTAAAATGTGCGCTCAAAAAGAAAATCATTTTTGTCAAAGTGATGTCTGTTGAAGGGACATGGATCTTGTAAATAGATTTTCATACCACAATCGTCAAGAATCCTGTTGCAGTCTTTACCGCGCACTCTTCCGTATGAAGAAGGGGATGTCCTTTCAGGTTGAGCCTCACTTGCTGACTATCCTTCGACTGTCATATGTTTACAGTAGTGACTCGGTGTAGGACGGGTTAATTCTTTCAGTCAAAGAGTCTCCAAAATAGAGAGTGTAAATTTCAGGCACAAGTTGCTGCTCTTGACAACATGTGAAACGACTGAATCCACAAACGACTGCAGTTCGGCGTGTCAGCGGCTACGACGATGATAGATGTGAAAGCGGGAAGAGTTGACATGGATAGTGGAACTGAAATCCCAAGATCAAAAGAGCCGTGCAGCAGCGGGCCACAGAGGCAACCTGATGCGGAAGATGCAGCAATCATAGCAATGGAATCCCATCCAATCACAGCTGAGCGCAACAGCACAGGGGTGACACGATCTCATCGCCTGAAGTAGACCAGCAGTATGCTGTCAAAACGTCGCGATCCACATCGTGTTATTTACCATTATGACTAGCCACAACCCTTTTTTATGATGTAGTGATGAGTTGTTATATTATCAACTTATTAAGAGTATAATGAGCGCACTTCTTGGATGTTGTTCGTTCCCAGGGTCCTACCTCTGTCTCCCCAGAGAGGACCCAGGAAATGAGGATGTTAAAAGATCATGGCGGACCGAGCCTGGAGAAATCAGCATGGGTTAAATTTGGTGTTGTTCTACAGCAAGCAGGTCTCTTATATCACATTTTTAAACGTTGATAGGAGATGTTGTGTTCGGTAGAAAATTTCGTGAGAAAGCGTGGACTTATGACTTAAAATAACTCAGCTTTGGATTTCTAACCGTGATCACGTAGATATGAGTTTGACGGGAAGTTATGCGTCGCGAAAAGAAACTCGAAAGGTAACTGGGAAGAATTTATCTATGGGAATATATTGATAAAATGATTTAGAATCAATTTTACTATAGAACTATAAGCTTAATTGGTAGGAATCAGAACTGTTTGACTATAACTAACAATCGTCGAAACATTTGTGCATGGGGAGTGGGGTGGGACGAAATATTGTTAGAGAGCCAGTGCCTTTTTTCTGTCAGCGGGGGAGGGAGAAGAAAATGCGGGATAGTAGGGCTTGAGAAGGCCTTGCTCTTTATTGTGTTCATGAAACGTCTGTAATCACATAACTATTATATTTAAAGAAATGTTATAAATCACAATTTGTGGTAAAAAATTTTTTAACGCCTATTCATAGAAGGGTAGTTTTGGTAAATGCAGTTTCACTGAGAGCAAAAAAAAATATTTTTGGTAATTTTCTTTGGGGTGGCTTAGATGCGTTTGAAGTAACAAGGAATTTTTTTTACGTCTGCCTTTTGAAAACAGCATCTACACTTGTAGAGTAAAAATAGTTTTGAATGTTAAATTCTCAGCCTTGGATGTTGCATCTCTTGCATTTTGAAGGGTTCACTTAATTTTGATCTGTCTTTGGATGGATACTTACGGGATATCACAAAACCAGCAGGACTGAAAAACAATGTGAATATGATATCTTCTCCTACATCAAGCAGAACAAGAGTTAAATTTATGAACAACAAATGAAGTGATCACCTAATGAGGTGATCACCCAAACAAAAAAACTGAAAAAAAAAAGATCAAATCAACTAATGTGATGTTTAAACAGTCAAAAAGCACAACTCCATGTTGATTTACAACATTATTATCACAAGAAAAAGGTCTGTGAAATAGTATAAAAGTCACAATGAAAATTGAGAGATTCTTACTGATGTTTCAGTAACATCTTTATTAAATCCATCTTTAATAAAGGTGATCCAGGTGATCCTGAATGGTTCTCATTAGTACAATTTATTCACAAACTGTACCATTAATTGCTCTTAATTGCAATGTTTTCCCAGGCAATGAGAAATCTTTACTAAAACACAACAAATAATCAGATTTCAAGGTATTTTTGTTTAGCAACCTTTTTACAAACCAGCTCAGCGCTGGAGCAATAAACTATTTGAATAGACTAAAAAATCGTTTTTTTGAGTGACTAAATAGTAGCAATTTCAAAAGGGATGTAATAAAGTGGTAATTAGACTTCGTGTTGTGCAAGTTTGGTTTGAAATCGTACTAGTTATCTGATTTCAAATTAGCCTCAGACTACACTGCTTTACGCTCATTCTATTTTGAAATTATTCATTTGATTTCAGATCAAATTGTACTGATCCACTCAGTTCAATAACCATCATATGTCTATCTATCTGAGAATTTGATGTTAAATCAAACCATTTCCAAGTCAATCTCCTTAGAACTGTATAATAATATATTGTAATGTGGGAAGAAATTGCTTGTCGCTCACTTGTAAGAGTGGTAAGGTTTAAAATTAAACAATAGTAATAAGCATGGGACCAAAGAAAAACTGGAGAAGAGAGTTGTAAAGTGACTTTCTAGGCAGCTAATGCATTTAACTTATTTTCATGGCATACTTCATCACTTTACAATGAATTATGATGTCTTCTTTGCACATTCCAGGGACAAGTAAGGACCTGATGGTACAAAACTGGGCTTGAAGGGAAGATCAATTCAGTGTTAATGAGAAAAAGGATTTATCAGGAAAGCTGTCCTTTAAATGGTAAGTTGATTATTTTTCTATTATTAAATTAAACAATTCTGCAAGTTTTTTTGCAACATTTTAATAATTGAGAAACTGTCTTCTTTAGTGTTTGTAAGAGGAACAGTCTTGCTAAATTATGAGCCCATCTGACCTTGTACTGAGTTAAATCAAGTGAAGCTTACCACTCAAGATTACATTAATGAATTGATTATTTGATTAGTGAACCAGCTTGTCATTTCAAGAATGCAATAATGGATTGATTATTTGAATTTTGAACAGATAGCTGTATTCATGATGAAATGGTCCAGATCATTGTTCAAATCAGAAGCCAATTTCTGATTACAGCTATCAGGATCAATATTCGAATATTTTTGAAATGACCATGGGGGTTCCACAATCAAATAAGCAATTATTATTGCATTCTTCAAACGACTCATGGGTTCAATATTGAAATGTCCATTTCAATATTCAAATATCCAATTCATTGATATAATCTTGAGGGGTACGCCACGGCTCGACACTAATGGTAGCCCACTAGCCACAGACTAGTAGAAATTCGGTTTTGGCTAATGGCTTTCAATTTCCATCAGTCAGTTTGGCTAGTAAATATACTGAAATTGTTGTAAAATCTAAGATGTCACTGGCCAATTGGCTAGTAAGTTGAAAAGTTAGTTTCAAGCCCAGGTACACTTCACTTAGTTTGACTGTAAAAGTGGAGAAATTTGATGGTTAAAATATGGAACAATCTAGTTAGGAAAAATCTCACTATGAATTGAAATGACCATGGATAAAAAGAAAAATATAGAGCAAAAGGAAGGTTAGAACTTATAAGGAACACCATTGGCTGGTTGGTCAGTCAAGACGTTGGTTGCTTGGCTTGTTCATGCTCTCTTTACCCCATGATTCAATCAAAAGATTCAAAATTTGGCCAACCACTGAACACTATGGGTAAGCACCATAACGATTTACTATCTAAAAGACAGTCTATCAAGTAACTTTCTAACTAAATAGTCTCTTATACCCAGTCCTCAAAATCTGAAAAAAATCTTGCTGATGATGAAATTAAATGAGTGCAGTTAGCAATTATACTGTTTAAAATGTTCACCACTTGATTCATTGCAGGACCATCTGGTTGCAGATTTACAAGTTACTCAGGGCTTGTTCTGCATATCCATCAATTGACTTTTCTCGCCAAGATTAATCTCTTTTGTCAACCAATCCAAAACATGCTATCTATTGATCAGTTGATGAGAATGATTAATTTATGGAATTCATCTTTGATGTTAACATTCCCAATAAGGTCCTGTCAGTCAAGAAACTCAGTGATACTACTGATTGTAGATTTTGGCTCTTTTGGAGTTGTGAGATCAGCCCCCTCCCCCCAGGTGACTTTGTCTCCTCCCACTCTGCCAGCCCTGCCCCGTCCCCCTCT